ATGATGGAGCCTTGGGTCACAAAGCTATTGCAAGTTCTTCGTGAATTGTCTTTGGATTTATCCCCAAAATAGTTCGAATTTTTATATAATATCGATTGTATTCATTATCCATTTTTGAAATTTTTTTTTTAGTTCGAATTAAAATTTATCGAAAAAAATACTATAACTAAATCTAAAAGAGATTTACTATGTATACTATTATAGATAAGATATTCCACTATTTATCCATGCACAACACTCTTCGATATTAATTGGTTTATAAAATTGCCAATAGCAATCTGGGAACTTTTTATACGACCTAAGTATATATTTTGGCCTGATTTGGTATCATCTCATTACGCACATAAAACAGTACAATAGCTTCTTCAACAAAACATCAAATTTGTACCAAGAGAAGTTAATCCACCAAATGTTCCAAAAGCTAGACCAATAGAAGACTTTTGGTCAATTCTTGCTGACAGAGTATATGATGGTGGTTGGGAAGCAAAAACAGAGACGTAATTAAAAAGAAGAATTTACCAGAAGATAGAACAAAGATATGAAACTTGTCCAGCATATGATGACGAGTATAGGAACGAAATTAAGAAAGATAGAAGATACAGAACCATTTTCTCTTGTTTGAATGTATAATAATATAGGTTTATATAATGTGTCTTTCATATGAAAAACTTACAAAATAAACATTCATTGAACAGAAGAAATATTAAATTTTATTTTGTGCAGAAACTTTTCGATCACCCGTTATACAGTAATGAATAGTTAAAATCTATAAAATATTATGTACAAAACTTTATTAACGTAGTATGATGGCCATGACGTCCGAAATCTTGAGAAACCAAATACATATTTGAATCGATTATGTTTAGATACCTGCTCACACTCGACATATTTTGCTGAGCAACGGAATTCACAAGATTTTACTTAAGGTATGTAGTAGAATAAATTGATTTTTAATATCAAATTAGACCTTATTCAAGATCAATTACATCGAAAAAACTAATAACTGTGGACCTCCCAGGTGAATGAATCTGATACAGAATCCGATAGAATCTTATAAAATCCGACGAACCGACAAAGCCCCTTGGAATTACGAGTTGAGGACTTACTAACGGATCCCTAGTGTGGGAATCCGGCGAACATCCGACCAAACCCAACAACCGAATTCGATAGGAATTTCAGGAGTCGGATTCCAAAGCTATAGGGATCCGTGAGTGGGTCCACTACCCGGATTTACTTAGAATCCTGCAGGAACCGATCGAAACCAAATTGGATCCAGCTATCAGATTGTTCTTCCTGGGGCTCTATCCATCAGATGTTTCAATCTTAGTTGAGATCGAATACCAAATTATGCTTTCTTTATCATTCTCGAGTATTCATCCGTTGACAAACATAACAAATATAATATCATTAGTAAATCTTTTCGTCAAATATTTCAAAATTCAGTTGAGCAATTATATAAACATTTATTTAAAAAAATTCTAAATTTTTACTAAACTAATTGCAACAATGCGTGAGGATGAATGAGTGTATGTAATCTGAAGTACCGTATTAGCTTCGTTAGTCTCGTAGAATTCAAACTCAAATTGTCCGTTCATTCTATTCTGAATGACAAAAAATAAGATTTATTCCACATGAGTGTGTATGTATTCTTTGTGAATTGGCGGAAAAGGCAGAAAAGAAAAAAGCCGAAAAGGAAAATGCCGAAAACTGGTAATTGCAGAAGGTAAAAACGTCGAAAAGGAAAACGTCGAAAGGAAAACGTCGAAAGGAAAACGTCGAAAGGAAAACGTCGAAAGGAAAATGTCGGAATGAAAAAGTATAATTAATAAAAGTGTCGAAGACAAACTGGTGGTGGAAAAGTAGAAAAATTTTGAAAAGGAAAAGGGTTTGGTGGAATAGGCCGAAAGGGAAAACGTCGAAAAGGATAACGTCGGAAAAAAAGGAAAATGCCGAAAAGGAAAACATAGAAGGGAAAAATGCAGAAATTCTAAATGTTGAAAGAAAAAATTATAAAAAGGAAAACGTCCAAAGGTAAATGTCGAAAATTGAGTTTTTTGATAATTTTAACGAAAAATAAAAATTTATTCGATCATATGATAAAATACAATAAAAAAAAGAAAACTAAGTTTATCGCAGTATTATTTTCTTTTTTTGTGTGATCCAAGTAGTAATGCTAATCCCTTCAATAATTGCTTTGTATTGATTTCATTATCGTTGAATCGTTTTTTAAGCGTTCCAAATCGTTTTTGAAACCCTGTTGTGTTCTTTGATTTCTTTGAAGATGAGGCACCACCACTTAGTTGAGCTATTATATGTTCAAGTCGAACATTTTCACTTTGAATCAACTTTATGAAAGTCCATACGTTTGGATGTTTTTTGCTTATTCTTGTTGAAAATCTACGGTTGTACGCTAGAATTAACATACATGAATTTAAAAAGAATTTCAGTTTAATTCGTAAACATTTTATTTCATTACCTTCCGAGATGCTATTGGTTCGATGATCAACATCATTCGAATTCCACATTGATAGAGGAACACTACCTTTTATCCATTGACGTTCAAAGTATACTAATAAATCATATAACGATGAAGATAATATTTCTCGAATACGTTTGAATTGTTGTTCTACTTCACAAATCGGCATTAAGCTTAGACCCATCAATTCCTTGCATGTTGGCGTATCGTTGCGACTTGAGCGTAATCAGCACATAAGCCTAAGCTCATTATTTTGCGATGGATACATTACGTAAAATGGAATAAGCAGCCTGAATGCTTAGCAGCTGGAAACTAAAAGATTGATCAGTACAGACCATTAGTAGTACCTAAGCAATAAAAAAGAAATTAAACTTACTACGTGTCGAACTGCGGACATAATTGCTGATTCGAAATCAGATACAACGTGTGTCGGTTGAAATTGTTTACCTAATAGTGTTGCTTCTTGTTTAAATCGCTGAAATAATTCGATGTATGTAGTTGCTCGTCGATTTGATAACAAACAATATGCAACTGGCACACCTTTTCGTTAAAAAACAAAATTCATCATTTTACTATATCGATATTAAATGCAACTCTCATACTTTGACCAAATAATTGAACATGTATCAAAAAACTTGATCAAAACAATTGGGGGCGGTACTGAAAGTGCCATCAACGAAAATAATTTCACTATCAAGTAATAATTGCAATTTTTTGGTCAGTTGTATATACGATGACACAATCGGTGTCTCGCTTTAGAAAAAAATCCCTTAACAAAAAGCGCTCTTGTTTTAATGTTTGTTGATATATTGTCGGTATTTCAAAAATACAAGATGCTGTAACCACCGCTGTCTTTATTCGTCTAGCTTTGCTCATGTTTGATCCTAATAAAGCAAAAACACAAGTATCGGCATTTAGTTAGGTTTAGTTATTTTGAGATACATACGGTATTCAATGACTGTTGGAAGTTCTGCAGCTCCTTCATCAGACAAATGCACTTTTGCGATTTCCTCATCATAGATTTTCATAATCGACGTTGTTTCATTTAAAATGCGATTTTTCATTTTGTCTTCAATTGCTTTTATTTCTAACGTATTCGGATTTATCACATGGTTATGATCACCAGTAATCAATAAAAATTCATTTTCTAAATTGGTGTGTACATATACGTCATATCGATGTTCAGTACAAACCCAATATTTTTTTGATAAGGACGTTTTATTGCATTTGAGCATATATTGGTTAAACACTAGTAATGGTTCACCTTTATTTGTCGTTAAGAATGATATTGCACTGGCCATTGTCGACGATTGAAGAGAAAATTATTTGTTAGTGTTTTCGCCAGACTGATTTATATATATATAGTATACACTAACAATGAACTAGTATAGACTATAGACGAGGAGGACGACGAAGTTTACTTATCCTACTAACAACAAATACCAAATCAAAAGAAAATTTTTTCGTTATCTATAGGCATATTTTTCATTCTACGTTTTCCTTTTCAAAATTCTTCTACTTTTTTTCTCTGGCAGTTTTTCTTCGACACTGTTATTAATTATACTTTTTCCTTTCGACGTTTTCCTCTTCGACATTTTTACCTTCTGCAATTTCCAGTTTCGACGTTTTCCTTTTTTTTTGACATTTTCCTTTTCGGGGCTTTTCCTTTCTGTCTTTTCCGCCAATTCCAAGGAAACGTAGAATGAAAAAGATGTCTATAGATAACGAAATTTGTTTTTTGAGTTGCTATTGGTTGTTAGTGGGATAAGTTAAATTCGCTGTCCTTCTCATCTATAATCTATACTTGTTCATTGCTAGCGCATACTATATATATAAATCAGTCTGTCAAAAACAACTAACAAATAATTTTCTCTTCGATCGTTGGCAATGGGCAGTGAAATATCATCCTAAACGACTAATAAAGGTAAACCATTACTAGTGTTTAACCAATATATGTTCAAATGCAATAAAACCTCCTCATCAAAAAAGTATTGGGCCTGTACTGAACATGAATGCGACGTATACATGCACACCAATTTAGAAAATAAATTTTTCTTTTCCTTTAAAATTATCGAAAAACTCTATTTTCGACATCTACCTTTTCGGCGTTTTTCTTTTTCTACTTTTTTCATTCGACGTTAACAATTTCTGTTTTTCCCCTTCTATGTTTGCCTTTTCGACATTTTTCATTTTTTTTTATATTTTATTTTTCGACGTTTTCCCTGTCTGCTTTTTCAACCAAACCCTATTTTTTGTGTCACACCTTCACATCCACCTCCACACCTATTAAAAATTGTAGTAGAATCTTTCTCTGCAAGGTAGGTATAACCAAGAGTGGTGGTGTTTCATTGTTGATAACTTTTGCAAGTCATCTCCCACCTACACTATACCTCTAGTCAACCGCTCGCAGATGAGACTCTGATTTTCTTTCTCATCTTTCTCACATTTATTGTAAAACAAGTTAGAGATTGTGCAATACCATTTGTTTGTATTAGTTCGATAGTTTTGTCATTTCTGTCTCTTAAAATATTGCAATCTGCATTGTTATGCAGTGCAGGTGTCAGTTCTGAACGGAGCATTAAGAAAATAACAGCAACGAACTGAAATCTTGATTACTTTGTATGATGCACGATTTTCACCGTTTTCTTTATTTGTACTAATTTACATTGGGTGGGGTGTGGGTGTTGGTGAGTGGTTGCGGGTCTGCGTGTGAATCGAAAGAAGGTCCACACCCAATCCGGCACACCTAGACCCAGACCCTGATCGACACACTATTCTGACTTCTATTTGTTAGCAGTAACATCCATATGTTTTCGTTTTTTCTCTTTTTTACTCTACAGCGACAAGTGCATGTAGCCAGAGTACAATTGGTGCATCATATTGGAAGAAACCAAGAGAAAAAGAAACGACTATTGACGTTATCTGTTTTGCATCGAACCACTGAAGGGAGAGTTTATATTCACTGTTTTTCTCTTACTACCTACGGCCTATTATTGCACACTCAGTGAGTGAATAATAATTCGCAGATAAGAATTACAAAAAAAAAACTTTATACTCATTTCGATTCGTTTTTTTCAACTATTTACTATTCTCGCAAATTCACCCGCCCCTCGCTTCTCTTTTTTACCGTTTTCTGGCCCGGCTTCTTTTGTGTTTTATTGTTCTTTATATAGAAATAAAGTCCAAAATGCGCTGCACATTATGGTATATAAACATTGAGGAAAATATGCAGTTTAACGTATGAAAAGTGTCACTTAATTACAATTTCCATCCCCGCCTATTCTTCGTGTCGCAATAAAAAAAGAGTAAGTATTTTTGGAATAACTTCTGATAGAAACAAAATAAAGAATTGCTATTTCGCCATTCAAAAAGTTCGATGCAGATTTATCTACTCTTTCTAATGGTGAAAACCACAGATATTTAGCTTGTTCCTATCAGAAGCTATTGGAAAAATACTTATTCTTCTTTTATTACGACAAGAACAGAGATATGAATTTCACATCTCTGTTCTTGGCGTAAGGATGTGGGTGGTTTTTGGTACTGATATTCCGACTATTCATATCCACACCCACCCACACCACTCAGCAGAGGAAATACATGAACAGGACATAAAATTGATTGTCTGTGCCGGGAGCGGATGCTAAGAATCGCGAAGTAACCAATCGATAAGTTGAAGACAGAAGTGAAAAGGGGTGCGAGTAAATGAATCTGGATACGAAGTAGGCGAAAATGGTGAATTTCAAAGTAAAATTACTAAAAGAGAAGTACGTAAAGTAAAGAAGGGCAGGGGAATGGCGTCGCCTCCACAACCAATAAAATGCATGTTTGAAAAATCACGCCACGGTGATGGGGGCTCAAAGGTCTTTCAGACTGGAAAGAGGTTGAGTGTTGCCTAGCCACAAAAAAACATGGGTCAGAAATTCTGCGTTGGTAGCTCAAAGTTTCATGGGCGGATCAGCTCGCCGCTTGCACTAATCTCAACTGCAGGATGGGCTATTTCGCGTGACTAGAGGTGTCGGATTAGCATTAAAAGCGAAAATAATGCATTGATTTATTTCTCAAGGAAAATTGATTAATAATAAATCTTTCGAATTAAAAGTAGTATTGGTGTTAGGAATGATAAATTAGTGAATAAATCCGCATTAAGGATTTTCTTAACCATAATACACCAATGCATTCTTTTCATTTTTAATGCTAACCTGACACCCCTACGCGTGACCCTTCCTGGATCCGCCCATGATTTGCGCCTTAACTATGTCTATTTGTGCATAAAAATGATCATTTGTATCATCGAAAGTGGTCATTCGCGTCACGGAACAGGTCATTTGTGTCACAGAAATGGTCAATCATGCCAAGGTCATGGTAGAGCGAGGTGAGGGAAGGGCCACTGGACAGACCCACAGGCAGACGCAGGTGAATTATGGTTTCTAGACCCTATCCTTTCACTCTAGGGAAAATGTAAAGTGGTGAGTTCTGTAGTAATAAATACAGTGGACGTCGGTCAGCATGTGAAGCGTATCGAAACACAAAATATTGTAATGAAGTAGCAAGGTCACACTCTCTAATGAAAACATTCACGAAACTATTCCGATAAAAACAATCGAAGTCAATTCGTTGCAGAATATTGAAATGGCAATGCTTATAGAGAACAAATGTGAACTCTCAAAAGTAATTTTGTTGATTATGGATATCGTGGTTCTAAACAAGGACCACATTATAATCTCACCACAACTGAAAAAAAACTTAAACAACATCTGAATTATTTCGATGAAAAAAAATAAATAAACGCTTCTCAAAAAAATGATGGTATCTATATAAATAGTTAAACCTAAAATGATTTTTCTTTTTAGATTTATTTATAACACATTTCGATTACAATTAAAGACAAATGTTCTTCTTCAAATATTGGATTTACATAATTGGGATTCTAATCGCTATTCAAGAAAGTAGTAAGTAAAAATTTTCTTAGGATTTACTTCTATTGTTCTCACATCACCCTCATCATTGATTTTGCCAATGATTTTTCATTTAATAATGAAAGGTTTTTTGTAACCAACAAAAGCGAAATATTAAAGCCCTATATGATAGTAGTAGCCATTAGACACGTGATACGACCGAAAGGATAGCATGTTTTCGAACGATGTGTATACTTGAAATATCGCCACTTGTCGTAATCCCTCTGGTTATTTTCGGATGTTTTAAACTGTACCCAGTCAAACAAACCTTAAAAAACGACGTTTTCTACAATGAGAAGCCGTTTGAACGTGTTATAGAATGCGCTTTTGACGCGGTTAAAACGCCATTCTTTTAATGTTTCTCTGACTGGATAGTTGTTCGTTAACCTGTTTTGGAATATCATGACATCTCTGAAGCTTCTAGATCGGATTTCTCTACTGAATTGAATGTGATTCAAAAAAGCTTTTCCCATATTTTATCTTTTCAACATAGGATCATCATCGAACTATGAAAAAAAAATAGAAACAAAATTGAAGGCTGTGGAAAGCGATGATATGACAAATTTTCGAGAAGAAGTCAAGAAGTGGATGGAATCTGGTATGCATAATTATGAATCATTTTTAAGTGATCAGGCTACTAGGTGGGAAAGATGCCCATTAAGCATTGCTGTTACTGGATCAGCTGGTCAAGGTAAGTAAAAACTATTTACCTATCAATGATCTAAAAAAACCTAATGGTTCGCTACTCTTCTAATTAGAGAACAAAGAAAATTTAAGCAAATGTATTCTCCTTCTTTCTTATGTACATTGATGTATAAGATCAACAATTATTTCAGACATGCAAATTCAAAAGGACGACACTTTCGAACAATTTCCATTCGGTTCAAATAGTTTCGTTTTGCCTAAAGTGAAAGATTTAGATTTTTTTTGCAAAAGTTAAACTCATAAAAACGTATTTTTACTATGACAAAATAAAATTTTTCTTTCAATTAAAATTTTTCTTTCATTCCTGAGTGTACCTGAAATAGGTTAGCAATTATAATTACTACCGTCAATTGTTATAAATGGTGTCTTGTGCGACAATCGTAATAAAATTGATGTGCATAATGCCGAGTGTCTATGTGCTACCAGGTCAAAGTTCAAAGGCCAAATAAACAAGTAACGTTCATCGACATCGAAAGTCGATTCACTGAGCCCTAGACTGACAGTGCTGAGGAGAAGAAATACATGGACAGGACAGAACATCGGTTGCTTGTACCAGCAGCTGGTGGTGATAATTTTAAACAGATCTGTAAAAGGGGTAGGAATGAGTGAAACTGAAGTAAGAATTAGACGAAAATTAAAGGTTTCAAGTAAAAGCACTAAAAGTGAAGACGAAACACGGACAGAATGGGACTCAAAGACCCTTAAGGCGGTGGAGAGGTTGAATCTTACCTAGCCACAGAAATATAGGGTTCAGAAATATCGTGATGGTTAGCTCAAAGTTTCCTCAACATGCTCTAGAGGATATTAATAGAGACAGTCCCATGGGAAGATTTGATTGAAAAAGTCAGCCTAGAATCGCTTGGATTTTCGCTGTTTTCAGCGCTTCCACGCGCACATTTTAAGCCGCTTAAATTGCTTTGAATCGGGTCCAAGAGCTTTCAAAAGTATTCTAAGTGCTACTAAGTAGCCTAACATGTTCAAAGGAGTTTTGAGTGCCTTAAAATGTACGCTTGGATACTTTGTGAATATGAAGGTGATTGATCGCGAATCATCTGGAAAATCCTATCGACTAGCCGGGCAATTTGCACGTGAGTCTACTAGTAATTTCATAAAAGCTAAAACAAATCATACAAAAATGGTAACTAACTGATATGAATTATAAAGTATTATTATCTTATCACTTTGCTACTTTGTTTTCTATTAGTTATTGTCTGTAAAAATGCTGATGATAGATTTTTCGCTGGTTTAAATATCTGCTTTTGGTACACATCTTTTTAAAAATATGTTTGCCTTTTATTTTCTTTGCATAGGTAAATCGAGTTTAATTAATACACTTCGTGGTTTGAAGCCTGGCTCAGATGGTGCTGCTAAAGTGTGTGAGGTTGAATGCACACAAGAAATCACTGAATACCCGGATCCGACGCATCCAAATCTTATTTATTATGATTTACCAGGTGTAGGTACACCTAAGTTTTCAAGATCTGAATATTTTAATATGATTAAAAACCAAACGAAACATAATATGGAATTTAAAGATTTTGATTTCTTTCTGATTTTATCTGCTGATCGATTTACCGAAGAAGATGCTTGGTTAGCACAACAGATCAATGGAGGTGGCAAACAATTTTACTTTGTTCGTACCAAAATCGATATTAGTATAAATAATAGCCGGGACAATGATCCTGACAATTTTAATGAAGAAAAACTTTTAAATACAATACAAACATATTGTTTAAAAGAATTAAATGCACTTAATCGTAATATAAGAGGATCGATTAATAATGGTTGGAATGAAGCGAATATTTTTTTATTGAGTACGAAATTATTTCATTCTGATAGATGGGATTTTCGACGAATGCGTAAATCGTTGATGAAGGACTATCCAGATAAAAAACGTGACTCTTTCATTATGTCGTTTCGAACAAATTCTAAAGATATTCTTCGTGAAAAAGTCAGTGTTTTGCAAAAAGGACTTTGGCAGTATGCGATGGTGAGTGCTTTAGGTGGGGCTGTGCCCTATCCTGTTGTTTCTACTGTTATTGATCTTGCCACAGTTCAATTTGCTTTATCCAATTACAAAAAACATTTAGGTTTAGATCATAAATCATTGGAAATATTACTTGAAACATATCAAATGGGGAGCATCACATCTCGACTGAAAAGTTCAGCTTCTTATTTATTTTATACTCCTGATCAAGTCTTCGCTAAAATCGTTCGTTCTGAAATAAATGATGAAATAGCAGAAAAGACAACAAAACAGCTCCTGAAATATTTTCCTATGCTCGGTCAACTAGTTGATGCAACTATAAGTTATAGGAACACATATATTCAACTACATGAAATGTTAAATGAATTGGAATCAGCAGGAATTAATGTTATAGACTATGCGCGAGACGATTTTTTAAAATCAAGAGATCGTTCCGAAGAATTGTAAATACTCATATTTTCCATACTGTCTAAGGTGTGGGTGAGTTAAATCATAAATATATTAAAGAATCTGAAATAAGTAATCAGTCCACGTGCGCACGGCTATACACGTGATTAAAAGCAACTGTATCCACACGAATATGTCTTGGTAAGTACAAAAGACATATCAAGAAAGATCACAAAACCAGAACAGGAACTGATCTTGCATCGTCCGATAACTGGTCGGCAGTTCTACTGTTAAACTATCTGAGTTCTCTCCAGTCATTGAAAACGACTACATACCCGAATTTACTTCAAAACTGACCCATGTCGCACAAACCGATCGAAAACCGTCGGTTAACCGGGGTTATTTAAGGCATTTTAGCGACTTTACAGCGTAAAAACCAACGGTTAACCGCGGTTAACCTCCCAGTTAACCGGAAAAATAACCGCCAGCTAGCNTAACCGATGACTTATTCGGTTAACTGGGAGGTTAACCGCGGTTAACCGTTGGTTTTTACGCTGTAAAGTCGCTAAAATGGCTTAAATAACCGCGGTTAACCGATTTTTATAAAAATTGACCGCGGTTAGCCGACGGTTTTCGATCGGTTTGTGCGACATGGGGAATGTACCAGGGCATTATTGGTTAAAAATTACACTTATTCAAATTCGCATAGCTACACGAAAACTAGAGTCCTACTCGTGAGCCAAAAGAATCTTCCGAAGTAGTACAACAGAACTCTTGTCCTGGACATGGGTGTGTGTGTGGGGTGTGTATTTTGAAGCAATACAAAGACACCCTCACCCATACCCTTCTTGTATGTGATTGTGTTTTGTCTAGTCTTGATGCAAATGTATCATTAAAATGATACCACTGGGAGTCCTTTTCATTTAATGCATACGTTACGTAATGTCCTGAGCCTAATGAACCAGAACGAACCGAGACAGCAACCAAGTTGTATGTCGGCAATGATATACTATCGTTTTGTTGAGCAATTCTGACATAATTTGTTAAATCAAGATTTTCTATTGGATAGCCGATATAACTAGTTATTTTATTTTGATGTGGTGGTTTAGCATAGAACTTGAAACGTTTCAACTGAATAAATAATATTTTTGCTAGTGAGTATAAACCAAAAGTTTGTACAGTATTTTCTTGTTTTCCACATTTCAAACATGTTAATAATCCTAATTTTTCTGGTTTGATGTATAAATTAATGCAAGCTTCTATATTTATTGGAGCTTGTTTATCATTATCGTGGGGTATTGGCTGTGGCAAAAATTTGATGGATTCTATACTTGTTGTTGATGTTTTACATTTATCACAAATAATTGTTGATGACATTTCACTATGAAATAAACCTTTTATAATGTTCGTTGTTGACGAACATAATTTGTCATGTAAATTTTCATCTAAGCAATTCAATAATGAATTCAAAAATTCATGAGCATCTTCTACCATATAAGACTTAAAGCGTGATGTATATTTGCCAAGAGATATTTTAACCGTTGATGGATCATATATTTCATTTCTACCTGACCAAATATGATAAATAATATTGGCAAATGCATTTACAATATTATTATCACTATTATCATTTAAAGAATGATAAAGTTGATAAAAATAATCTCTCAACTCTGGGGTGCTACTTAAACATTGTAACGCACTATTCATATAACAAGTGTTACCTATATTTACTAAACCACATACACCAGGACGTATCGATTGGTTATGATCATTACAGGTACTACCATCTTCCTGTTCATTTGACGAATTATTTTTTAAACAATGTTCTTAAATATAAACCATGATAAGTGTATTTGATAGACCATGCTGGAGAGATTTTTACCTTTCGATGCAACATTGCTATTATGTTGTGTTTTAACTCCAGTACTTGGTAAACATGTTTCCTCATTTTCGGACTCTATAAAAATAAAAATAAAAAGTTATAAGTTTGTATGTGAGATGAATAATCATTCTTTATTCTATTGTCAAAAGTGATAAATCACGGATTATTCGATTAGAAAATAGGCTGCTTATCTCGTCGATGAGAGTGTGGGTGTGTGTCTAGGTCTGGGTGTCGGGATGTTATTTCGGGCATTGTTTGTTGTGTTCATACAGCATCCAGCCACATCCACACACAAGCACACCCACATCTTCTCTCGCAAATAATAGTTGTTTTTCAACATAACCGATTAACAGAGAAACAATATCTCTTATTTAATTTCTCTATTTATTTTGTTTCATTTTTTCTCACTGCTCCCTATCAAATTAATTGATGGTGTGAAAATGCATTGTGCTATAAAATATTGCACGATTTTTAGCGATGTGACATATTTTGCAACGAAAAGTCTAGTTACTACCGATACTCTCCCGAACGTTTTTATATATTAATTATACTTGATGTAAATTATAACAGCTGTTTATGGCGTCTGTATAGGTAAAAAAACAAATCGCTATGATGCCTATGACCGAACCATTACCTTGCATTTTTTTTCTTCCTTCAGTCCTTTACAGCTGCTTGAGAAAAGAAAAACAATATTGCATTTTTTTCGTCGACGATATATTAATTTTTTTTTTATTTGCGCATAATAAATACATTTGTAAGTGAACATAGAATAACAACAACCATGCTTCTATTTCCTTATGCCCAGCAAAACAATTTCCATCTTTAGACATCTTGTATTTCAGATAGTTTTTTATCGAGTCATTCATTGGATCCAGAAATGAAATTTTCAAGTGAATATATGAGTTGTTTTTAATGAAATGACTTTCACAGATGAGACTGTTTGTCCAGCCATCTTTTCATTTAATGAAACTAATGTTCACCGAGGAATGCTCCAAATTTTGACTGGTTTAATATGTACTTCGCATTCGTTCGTTCGCTAACTATGAGCAAATTTCTATTTTATTTTTGTTGATGTGAGACTCCTGTAATGCACTATTCGCATCATGTGAGTAACTAAAGTGTGTTTGGTTTTGCTTCAAAAGCAATCTACTCAATTTCTATTTTCTTTTTCGAACATGATACTATATGGATTTCAAGATGATTGCAAGTGTGTTTTCTTCATTTACTGATGCTCCTGTCGTCGGTTACAAAATAAGTAGCCGACTCCATTGAGCTCATGTCAATCGTTGCTTTTATCGAGCCATCCACTTTCCGTCGACGTATTTTTTATAATTATGAGGGCACAGGGTGTCATTTTATGGTGTATACTAGTATTAGAAGTGTATAGAACCAAAAATTACAACTCTATCGATGTTAGAACTGCACTAAACTTTCCGGGATGGGATAAAAATAATTGGTCTCGCACATATTTGATCAAGGCTTCGATAGTTTTCGATTATATTCTCCAAAACACCTCTCTTTTCATTTCAAATCAATTCTGAGTAAAATTTATGTTTGATATTCTTCCCAATGCCAATCTATTACAAAACGCGTCTCGCAAAATTCCTTTGGTGATTAAAATGTAAAACACTATGAAGACTCTTTAATTTTATATCAACATCTTCTCAATATTGATCACGGTAAGCAACATTTCCTAAGAAATAGCATACAGGAGTCGTGTTTATCGCTAGATGCTTCCTTTCAAATTGTTTTCTTTTATAGGATTTACGGTGCCATTAATACGATAGCTTCTTTTTGCTTAATACTCTTATAAATACCTTATAGTATTCTGTAGATATTCTGAGTATCATATGAAAAAATCAGAAGAAAAGAGTTCAGCACTTCAAATCGAAGATTTTATTATTATCTGGTTGGATGCAGTAATCAACAACGATCATCACGTTTTGTTCAAACGTCAATTTTCATTAGACATCTCCTCGAATTGCATTCATACATTCGTAGATCAATATGAATGTGTCGAATATATCCGGAGAAACGAAAACGAACATATCTTTCTTGTTGTATCTGGATCATTAGGCGAAAATATTGTTCCACTTGTTCACAATTTATCTCAAATATGTAAAATCTATATATTCTGTGCCGACAAGGCAAAGCATACATCATGGTCGAAAGCGTTCATTAAAGTTCAGGGAATTTTTATTGACGAAAGTCCTCTGATGACTTACTTGAAAAGTGATATAAAAATATATTCGAATGCAACAGTACCAATTAGCATTGGCTATACGAATGAGCGTTCTTTGCAAGATATCAATGAAGAGCAAGTGGATTTTTTGTGGTTTCAGCTACTGATTGGAGTCATTTATCGTTTGCCGCAAACATTGGGAGCAAAATCTGAGATGATTGAAGAATGCCGTGAAAATTATGCAGATAATCCATTTCAATTACGTATGATAGATGAATTCTATGAAAAATACACTGCTGATTCAGCCATTCATTGGTACACAAAAGATTGTTTTTTATATCGACTACTAAATAGAGCATTTCGTACGCAAAATATTGATATTATTTTTAATTATCATTATTTTCTAACTGATTTATTCAAGCAATTGACTACACTTCATCAAGATCAATTTGGTGACAAAACAGGCAGACTAAACGTTTATCGAGGTCAGTATCTGAATGTACAAGAATTGGAAAAATTGAAAAATAATATCGGTCGTCTTGTATCGATTAACACATTTCTCTCAACATCGGCAGAGTGTTGCGTCGCTGCCGAGTTTTCTGGCAATGGTGAGCATCAATCTAAAGGTATTGAATCTGTTATTTTTGAAATTGACATTGATCTCGCAGTACAAAGACGTCCGTTTGCACGAATCAATAAATGCAGTGCCAATAAAGATGAGAAGGAAATACTCATTGCTATGGGATCCGTCTTTCGTATTGAAGAAGTGGAATTGTATACAGATTACATTTGGTTAATAAAACTGGTGTTAAGCAATGAAGTTAAGGAAGAGGTAGAAAATTTGTTTGCATATTTTACACAGCATATTGGTAAGCAACCATCCATTCTTGAATTCGGTGTTCTTCTATCAAAAATTGGTGATTTTGAACGAGCAAAACGTTTCTATCAGCGTTTATTAGTAGAATTACCATCAGATGATATCGATTTAGGCGTTCTTTACAATAATCTGGGAGAGATTTATCGACAGCAAGGCTATTCAAATGAAGCTATGGAATATTACAAGAAAGCCATCCAGGAATTTACAGAAACAGTCGGGTTTCGTGATGAATGGTTTGCTGTTGTTCACAGTAATATGGCTATGATATTCGAGGCACGCGGTGAATTTGAAAGAGCAATCACTTATTATCGTTGTGCTCTTTTCATCATTCAGCATATTGATTCAGACGATGCTGAGCTTTTTAGTACAGTCTATCATGGTATGGCAACGAGTTTTCAAAAACAAGGCAAACTAATGGCAGCCTTGCATTTTTATCAGAAAGTACTCAATGTAGAAAATCAAGTACTTCCGGCTGCTCATCCATCGATCGCCACAACTTACACGAACATTGGACAATTGCTTTTTACAATGAAGAATATGGCCCCAGCATTTGATTGTATGCACAAAGCTCTTACAATTCTTTTGGATGTATTGCCTAAAAATCATCCGCAATTGGCTGTAACATATGGGTGTATCGGGGGAATGCATTTTTCTCTAGGTCAAGATTTTGAAGCTATCAACTACTGTTTGAAAGCTGAAGCAACGATTGACCAATCGACATTAGCACCTGATCATAAAATACGTGAGGATATTTATCTCAGTCTATGTGCCCTTGCGAATAGAAACAAATGGAATGATATATCGATTCGTATCTATCACAAAATCGTGGAATTATTTAATGCTCGCACGCCACCCGATCTTTATTGGGTTGCCTTTTATGCGAATAATCTCGGGAAAATGTACTTTGATAAAGGGAATCATGACCTGGCAGTTAAGTATCATAATTTGGCACTCGATAGCATTCAACAATTGTCACGCACCGAAATCAATAAGCGCTTGTATGCTTCAATCGTTGATGCGTTTCAATATATTGGCTATTTCGATATTAGTCGGGAGCATTTTACGCTACTTTTACAAGAAGAAATTGACAGCAAATCATCATTTGCTGCCAATTTACACAATAAACTGGGTGTTCTTTACGATAGCAAGAGACAGGACCTGTTAGCAATAAAGCATTATACAGCGGCTTTGCAATGCTATATGAATTGGCCAGATACTCATAGAAAAGAAATCGCAATTACTCGTCATAACATTGCTGTTATTCAACGAGATCTTGGTGATTATGAACAAGCTTGTCTGCATCTGCGTGAGAGTCTTAGTATTCTAAGCGAAGATGAATATGACCTTCGCTCCCAGTTTTGTTCCGCACTTGCCGAAACTTGTACAAAAATAAAAAATTGGACTTGTGCACGAGAATATTTTCAAAAAGCAATCATATTAGCAACACAAGCAAAATCTACGAATTCAGTCATTGCGACATATAAAACTAAATTGGAGAATGTAATATCCATGATGGATAATATTACTATTGAAAATTCTATTCAAGAATAAAATTGAAATAAAAATGGAACGCATTCTAAGTGGTTAAGCCAGTATCTTATATGCATAGCGAGACATTGACTTGTACTGTCAATGGTAACAGAGCTCATCTGAGCACCCTGGGAGATAAGTTCAATTGGAAGTAAAGATAATTATATGTCTTGTTTCTATAAAACATTCAATAGAAACAGGATATCTTAATATCAAACATAAACATTGTTGCGTTTTTTTTTTATTAAGATCTTAAGTTTTTAAACTCACGGTCACATTTATTCAACACTTGACTGATCTCTTTAATTTCTTTTCTTTTTGTCCATGTACAAGAAATGAACATATATGTTTAAAATCTCAGATCTTTCACTACTGTATTTATTTTCTGTAGTAGTGGTCGAAAGGCAAAGTAAAATTTTTGATATCCTTGGGGTGTGGATGTGGGTATGTCAATGAGGTAGTGGAAAAGATCAGTGCTCACACCCACACCCACATCCTATTTGACGATCGCGCGTTGATGTTTTTATTGTGTATTTTCACTGATTTTATCAATCATACACTGCAATAGTTTTTCATACTGATCAATAATCGATTCATCAAGTGCGTATTGTTTGCACTTATCTATCGTCTGTTGATAGTAATCACGTGCCATTTTCCAGTCATTGCATCGTTCGTATGTCTTTGCAAAATAATAATTAATTTTGACATCGAGTGTGCTGTTCCTATGTCCTGGTACTCCCAAGAAATGTAGTAAACTCTTATCTAGATGCATTCGAGTCTGATCGAACTCGTTGCCATTCATATAGATGAGAGCAATATTATAATGAATAATCGCCGCCTGTATTGATTTATTTTCTTCATCTGAAGATAAGATTTCTAATGATAAGCTATAGTGGTGCAACGCTGCGTTATCGTCTTCCAGATCTTGATAGCATGCCGCTAAATTATTGTGCAACCGACATTCGTGTAACTTTGCAAAGTGAGGATCATCTGAGACTAGTATATTTTCAAGTAGCCATGTATAATAACAGATTGCCGGCTTAATATGTCCCAAAGCTCGCCATCTATCAGCTATTTCGCACCGAGTGATTGCCTCAAGCTGAGAGACTCTTGGTCTAAACAACGAATTACGATCAAAAAGTATCATAATGTTTGAATCTAGGGCGAAAGTTTCCTTTGATAATTGCAACAGTTCCATTTGTTTTATCAGATCAGACGAGTTTACAAAGTCGGAGTTCGCAACTAAACGACCCTTACCTTCCTCAATGAATCGCTCCCACATTTGAAAAGCAAGGGGTCCTAAGCCAATATGTGTATATAAATTTGCAAGTGACTTGTAAATGTCCATTCGATTACAACTGATTGATGGCAACTTTGACTGTTCCATAATTTGCAAAGCCTGAGAACAATGAACCAATGTTTTCGATTTATTTCCCGTAACAAAATAGATTAGTACCGCGACGTTAATATGAAGATTGACTAATTTCCAATCGCTGTCCAATAGATTGTGTTGTGCAATTCGTAGAGATTCTTCATATTTTTCAAGTGCTTTTGTCCACTCGTTTAGTCTTAAATTGACTGAGCCCAGTTCATTATATGTATCGATTAATGTTGGATGATCCTGTGGTAAAGTTTTTAGTTCAATCTCAAGTGCTTTTTGATAAAAGCCAACTGCCTTTTGAGGCTGGTCAAGAAGAATATATGCCGAGCCCATTCCATGATAGACTGTGGCCTTCGATTCTTGTATATAAGTATTTTGATTAGCGTTCGGATCACGAAATCTACTGATGATCAGAAGAGCACAATGATAACACTTGAGAGCGTGCTTCGGACGTTTGAGTGTTAAATGTAATAGAGCAATATTACTGTGTATGACAGCCCAAACAGGATGAAAAATCGACATTGTATCAATGCAATACTCAATTGCTCGCTCAAAATGGTGTCGAGCTTGATTAAAATAGCCAAGCTTACGCATAATTTCACCAAGATTATTATGCAACACACCTCGATCCGGATGATCGGTCGATAATATTTTGCGCAAATTAATGTAGAAACGTTTAGCTTGCTGTAAGCAGCCCATTTTGGAAAGAAACAATCCGAATGTAAGTACTGAAGGATGATCACCTATATAATGACCAGTATAAAAATCAAGTAGACCTGTTAATTGATTCATTTTTGTCAGTTGTTGACTACACTCATTTGTCCACGTGAGTTTCACTAGCCATATAGCGTCGGTTTCGAGTTCAACACTGTCAATGCGAAAGATAGTACCAACGGAAAACAGAACTTCGCATTCATCCTTTATACAGCTCAACTGATCGATATTAGCAAATGGTCGACAAGAAACAGTAAGATCAACTTCAATATCAAAGATTACTGATTCGATTCCAATCGACAAATCTTCACCATTCCCGGAGAAATTCGCCGCAACTGAACAGGAGAAGGAAGCAGAGAAAAATGTATTGATTGAAATAAGATGGCCAACATTATGTTTTAATTTCATCAGCTCTTCTCTATACATTCTTTGGCCACGATAAACAGTTAAATAATCTTTTCGATCTTTAAATTGTTTATTATATAAGAAAGCCAGCTGACTGAATAGATCTACAAGAAAATAACGATATTTGAAAATGACATCAAAGTCTTGCATGCGAAACGCTTTGTTAAAAAGCTGAAAAACAAATGTATTTTCCGTATACCATTTAATAGCGTTACATGCTTGATACGTATTCTCAAATATCGTTATTTTCTCTAGCTGTACTCCATTTTCTTTGTAATGCGAACGACATTCTGTCACCATTTCAGCTTTAGAATCTGGTGTATGTGGTAATCGAAGAAGTAGTTCTGTTACCAATTGGAACCACATAAACGAAGCTTGTTCTTTACTGAGCTCTTGTAATGATCGCTGTGTAGAATCAAATAATCCAAATGGAAAATTTATGTTCACAAGAGAACAAACATCATCTTTGACTTTAATTGATAGAAGAAGATCGTCATTAAAAACACCACGTATTTTATTGAATTGTTTAGTCCAAATCTCATGTTTATTTTTATCAGCACAGAAAATATAAATGAAAGTTAATTTTGGTAAATCATGAAGAATAGGAACTATTTTCTCACCAAGCGAACCCGAAACAATAAATAGTACATGTACATCAGTAATATTTTCAATGTATTTCATGCATGCCGAAACGTTAGTAAATGGTTGAATGGCTTTTACATAAGATAACAGGAGATTTTTACGTTGAGATAATAATATTGTGTCAGGATTTGCTATTGTTTCATCTAACCATATAATGATTATGTCTTCCAGGCGGTTGGATTCGGACAACAACCCTTCAGATGATGCCATTGTGTCCGAAATACCGTGTCAAACTTAAAAATAAATAAGTATAAAATTTTCCACAAGCTCACAAAAGTAGAAAAAGTAATATGAAGATATGAGTAAGTTTAATTGAATCGTTAATACATAAAGAAAGAATATCATTCGATGAAAAATAAGATATCGGATAATTCTTTCGTTCATTTATCATAGTTTTTATCGTGTTGACAAAAACTGACTTGTTTCAACAAAAGATCTTAGACAAAGTTTAAAAAAAAGTATACTAAATGGTTAGTATCTATAACGCTCCAAATTCCAGTAGAAATTTTTTTTAGTCTCAGCCCCGATGGCCGGAACTGGGATCAAACTGTCCTCCCTAGTAATGATCTATTCAAAATTATATTGTTGTTTCCAATTCATTTCTGATTCTCAAAGAACCAAGTTTAATCTAATACAAAAGATAAATAATTCAGATCGAGGTGGAGTAACTTTATTTGGAAAACAAACTACTCGACTACGTGGCATTTTTGCAAACAATCAAGTGAAGACTATGAAACTATGCTGATGATCAACTAATGGAAAGGACATATAGTTTTGAGTAAGCATAATGCTATCTGTGGTGAATTAGTAATTATTTATGGAGTATACAACTGAATTGTTAAAAAATCTCTACTTATTAATACAGATATTACTAGTATGCGCTAGTGTTGCAGCCATTTATTATTAGATATTGAAGATTTTTCATCTAAAATATAAAGAATACTAAACTAGCTTTTTAAAACAATATTGGATTAATTGAATAATGTTTTCTTTTTGTGTCGATTAAGTTCATACTCTTTTACTGTGTACCAACACAAAAATACAATATAGTTCATAGTAAGAAACAACTACAACACTGCAGCATGCTACAAATAACAAAAAAATCCATCATACTTCAACTGATTGAAAAATTCCGTGACCTCTTTTAAACTAACTTGAACAGAATCTACGGACATCTATGAAAAGTAAACCTTATGAAAACTCGATGCAAATCAATAAGTTTTAAAATAATAGAAAAATCTTTGTTTTTCTGTTCAAATGTCACTTTTTCTGCTCACTCGAAATGATTATGGCAGCAAAGAAACACGTAATATCAAATAGCCAGGAAATGGGCAGTTGTGCGCTTTTTTACGCATCGCATTTACGACACTCTCCCTTTTTAGGTCCAAGCAATATGAAACAGCGTACGAGTACTAATCATGATTAGATCATTTTCAGACTTTTTAAAGACTTCCATGAGTCGCAATATTGAAGATTTTGAAATAACAGCTAAATGAATTCTACTTATAAAATTTATTGAGCAATTAAAGCTGTGTGAATTGCGATCGAATGTGATAGTTGAACTAAATATCATATTTGCTGATTTCCATCACATGTTTCATTCCGGTCATACGTAAATCGGCTTGTCCACGTAACTGTCACCTTCGCTGCGGAAGTTTTCGAAAAAATATTTTTCGATATCGGCTGATCTCGGCACATCCCTTGATGTAGTTTTTTGCGCTGATTACGATTTTATTATTATTTTGTTTTAAAAATCATTTTTTAGCGATCAAAATCATGTTTTTAACTTTCTGAAAATCGTATTTTGAACTTTTTAACGTAAAAGTTTCTCGAAAAGTTCTAATTATTACACCATTCGACGCAGAATTTTATTCTCTACAAAATGAGCTGTTTATGCTTAACTTTCATTCCCGGAGGCCACTTTAACATTGTTGTAGAGTTTTCAACTTTCTATACTAATAATGAGCTTCTGCTTCATCATAATAACTTGATTTTTTGTACAGTGGTTATATGTACAGAAAAGACCTAGCGCTATAAAAACCAAATAGATCTGAGTAAGTTAAGTGACCCGAAATTGATCGACAAAAAAAGGTGTCACAGCGTTACGAAAAATGTCACAGCGTTACGTTATCTTTTTTCATTTTTCATTTGAATTATGAGAGTTAGGAGAAAAATGTTTTTACCACTGGAAAGCTCGTTTCATTCTCTACAAAATTGGTTTCAGGTCTATTTTAATTGGAGATCGTCGTTCGCAGGGAATTTAACGATAAGTGAGAGCGTTGGAAACTCAGGGGCCTTTTACGTCACAGTGTTACACGACTATAAACTATCGCTGTAAACTATAGAGTTTAACCAAAAAACATCAAATTTATAGTACAAATAGAACTCGTTGAACAGCGTCGATTGGCGTTTGAATGAACGTTCCAGCTATCATACTTTTCGAGATATTTCAAAAAACATTTGCCAAAACGTCACAGCGTTACGCTTGGACAAGCCGAAATATACCACGTATATTTCGTCTAGAAATGCAGGTGAACTCTAAGCTGAACTCGAAAAATGATCTAAATACATAGCATTGGCAGTATTGTTAAAAAGGTATCAAAAGAAAAAGTGAATTATTTCTAAAAGATAAATCATAATGAACAATATTGCTATTCGATTTCATGTGACTGAACACAAGGCCAAGCTTCGGAGAAAAAAATGACATATCAATGAATCATCTTGAAAACTGTATTCAGTGAACAAACATGAATTAACTGATGGTTATCTAGTTATCGATAATTCTGACCCCGAAAAATAATTAGCAAACGCATACATATCTATGTTCATAAATGAATTGTCAGAAGTATCATATAAAATATGATGAGTAATCAAATTACGTATAAAATTTTCGTTATTCATGAAAAGAAAACTAACTTAATTACACCGATCGATCAAGGTGTTAATGATCATCGTTTACATTAAAGTTGTTTGAAGATATCTCAATCATTCTATCTACTGACGACAACTTCAATGTCTAAAACATGTTATTTACGCATATGTTCACTACCTTTGATAATACATTATAGATATTATGACATGTATAAAAAAAAAAAGATCATACTCATCATCATCATACACCTCATTTGTCGTTTAATTTCATTAATACTTTTGTTTTGTCTAAGTGCAAAATCCTTCTCTACGACAAATATATATATATATATATATATCTGTCTACGCTTTTGTTGTTCAATTAAAACACTTAAATACTATTGTTTGTTCATCATCATAACCCATAAGCATATTCTCATTGTTTTTTGACGCCTATAAGTTGAGAACGAAAAAAACACAAGTAGACATTCCAGTGCAATTTTTCTTTCTCCTCTTAAGGCATTTTGATTGCGTGTTAAACATCGTAAATACTTTCTTATTGTATATATAAAGTCACTGGAGACACACACATGAGATTTAATGATGATCATGATGAGTCAGGCCGAAATGAATCAACGTTTTATTGTGAGTTCTAACAAGTCAATATGAAAATTCTTTCATCTTCTATGTAATGAACAAAAATCGGTGACATGAATCGTCAAGAAACGAATATATGCATGATTATTTATTCGTTCTATTTTCCGGTGAACACACGTGTCATTTGTTTGTCAACGAAGACTCACTGCTATTGCATTAAAGATCAAAAACGAATGACAAAGAGAACGCAAATGATACTTGACTTATACAGCTGAATTAAATTTGTTGTCATCGATAAACTAAGTGAATCACTAGGAAATTCTATACATAATACTTAACATTTTTCATTGACTATATTGACAGAAGATTTTTGATTATTTCTTTTTTTTTGTAACAAATCAATGAATCCTTTGAAGTGTGTGTCAAAAATTCGTATAACGATTTTATATTTTAAGAAACAAGCGAGACGCCTTTTACTTCCTGCTGGCACATCAGTGTTCCCTATGTCTGCAGATAGAACTGATAACGCAACGAGCGAAACTAAAATGTGAATTGAACAAAAATTTCGATACACACCGTCAAAACAAATGAAAAAGACAATAAAAAACAAAAGGTGAAGACATCTGTTGACCATCTGTTCCCGTGTTTTTTATTGATGATAATGATATGTGAAACGAAAAAATTAATCGATCGAATATTTCCGTTATGTGTGCCGCTTTCATTTGAGTAAATCTAGTGTTACATCCTTTATTATTATTTTTTTTTCAAATATGTTAAATTTATTTACATTTATCACTGTTCTTACAACCGGGATGAACAACAAAGAGACAGAAAAGAAAAATGCAAAGTTCGTTGAATCATACAAGTGAAGCTTGAACATCGGTTTGTTTCAATTTTGTGTTAATATCTTTTTTTTCGGGATTTTTTTCGTTTGATTCTTGGAAGATATTTTTCGACGAATTTTCAATGGTCCAAATTTTTTCGAAGCTTATCTGTTGAATTTTTTTCAATTGTTTTTGCCGTTGATTGTAATATTTATAGAATAAACATGTGACAATCATTAATATCGATAGAAATATAACAATAAACAATAATAGAATAATTAACTCCATTGATAAAATTTTTCGTTCTTTCTTTTGTATAAGTCGTATATCAATTTCACAATATTGCCCAATAAATTCCTTCGGACAAACACATTTATTATCTTCACAACGACCGTTATTACGACATATCGGACATTTTATTTCAATTTCACATTGTTTACCTTGATAACCCGGTGGACAAATACATTTATCTGACGAACTTAAACCGCCATTTACACAAATACGTTCGTCACATAATAGACCTTGAAAATCCGATGGACATTCGCATTTAGATTCGATATATTTTCCATTATTTTGACACTGAAGTTTTTCGTTGATAATTTTCATTAGAGGTTTTATTGGAGTTTCACAATGACTTCCTGTCCATCCATGATGACAAAGACATTGACCCGGTTGATTAAGACAATGACCGTGTTGACAATCTTGGCGACAAATAGCTAAAAAAAAGCAAGAAAATCTATCATCTGGATTTAATTCTCAATCGAAAGATGATCGTACCTTTATTACAATCCATTCCAGTCCATCCTTGTTGACATATAATATCACCTGTGTGAGGATCACATCGTGAATGCGATGAGAGTGGAGAACAAAAACGTGAACATTGTGAACCATAGAAATTAGTTGAACATGATACTCGATAGCGAAAGGAAAATTCATGAGAAGTTAATGAAGAATCAATTGTTTGAGAATGATGCCAGGATGAATTCGGATATATTACTGAACGGATCGTTGTTGACATTATTAATTCGCGTGCGCTGCCAAGATGAGGTTGACCGTCATAAGTTCTATCATTGAAAATATTAATTTGTAAAACAAAATCTCCCTGAAATATAAATTTAAAAAAAAACTATTCGTAGCAAATATTTTTGTTTTCACTTACCATCCAACTAAATTTAAAAGGTAAAACAATAAGATTTACACGATATGGTAAACGCGCAAAATCAATATTATTTCCGCCGAGAATCGGTGTTTCATCAAAACTATATGTGCATTCATCATTATTAAACGTTAACGGACGATTAATATTATCCAAATTTGGATTTTGATTGCGTAGACAAAAACGAATAAATGTTTTACATGATTGAACACATGTAAAAAATCGGTCGGGCCCATTACAACATGTTCCATTGATATTTAAACCTTTTCGATTAATTAAACGCTCTAATTCGATTTCGAATTTACCAGAACTTAAGCATAACTATTCAAGAAGAAGAAGAAAAAAACTTGTAGAAAAAAAACAAATTCAATTAAACAAATAAACTTACTTGAATATGAAGGAAGAAAACGATGCAAAAGAAGAAATTCATTATTATGATCACGAATGAATAGAGAATAACTAACTATTGATTTTCTTCTTTCCTTATATATCTGCTCCTATGCTTGTCGAATTTTTCTTCATCGTATCGATTCAATGAGCCAATAGGAAAAATGGTCACCTTTCTCTCTCTCTCTCTCTCTATTGCTTTCTCTATTCGCATTCAATATCGTCTGACTGGCGGCTAGGTGTCAATTACGGACAACCACTGACCATAGAAAATCAGACACGCGATACAGATAAATATTTCGATTGAATAACAATTGTCGAGATCTTTGAAAAACAACATATCGAAAAGAAATGTCTGCACAATACAAAAAAAAAGTGGACTCAGAGAAATCTAGAAGAGAGTAGCAAGTTTTCAATTTTTTTGTTTTTGTCCTGTCAACACATATCGCCTTCCTTTGATAATAATGACGAATAATTGATCATTAATTTTCGGCTATTGAAAAGAAACAATAACAACAACATTCCTTCTCTCTGTCATCTCTATTATTAATCATCAGCGTGTGCATTGATCAGGTTCACTTAAAACAATATTAGTTTGTTTTATAAAATATTATGAATCTCCAAAGAGAAAGAAGTGTTAGATTCAAATGAAGTTATTTCTTTAAAATATTTTTATTCCGATATGAAAAAAATGTCATTTAACTATTCTTAGATGCGTTCATCGTTATTTATGTCAATGATGACGACATCATAGGGAGTGGCATATCAATAGGGATGGAGGGAGGGAGAGAATGAGACAAGTATGTACAGACTCCAATTAGTGATATTGAACAAGATCGATAACATTGATAGACACCATAGGAGCGAAGATTTTATTTCACAAGATAGTGTTAATAAAAATGATTTGCGTTCATTCGCTTCTGTTTTTGTATTTTCAAGAATGACACCTATCCATTGATTTCAATGTGAAATATTTTTGGTATTTCATTATGTAGCTATGTCTTGTGTCTAATCGAATAGAGTCAGTCAAGCAGTGTATCGATTTTTTCGCTTCATAACGAAAATATCTTGTTAAGACAAAAGGGCAAATAGATATATATATAAATGTACGCTCATTCATTGTCATTTGATTAGACAATGGGACGAAATATGTAACATGATGAAATTGCAAGCTGTCCAGGGCAAAACAAATATTTTTCAATTAAATTTTTCTTGTATACAAACTATCAACATGTCACATCTACAATGGCCTCAAGGGATTAAAATACAAACAAATATATCAACAGAGATGTTTTGAAACAAAAAGAAAAGACTTAGCTGCTGGCCGTTTTCATTTTCTAAATAAAAACGAGATTGAGAAATAGATCTGATTCATTTTCAGCGTTGATCTTAAAGTTACTAAGCTTAAATCAAACTAATTTGAACGGAATATGAAAATGATTAACAAATTTGTTTGTTTCATTCCCATGATAATTGCATTTGAAATTAATTATATTTCCCTATGAGAAGAATGCTGTAGAAGAACGAAGGAACAAAAGTTTCTTGAGGATGAAGATAATCGTTAGTTTATTGATCAGCATGGTAAAATATTTATTTGCTTTGCATTCGCATTGATGATAAATTGCAGCTGTGCTAATGTTTTACCGATAGTAAATGATTGGTTAAGGTCATATTACAAATAGAATAAAAGAAAAAGCCTCAATCATTTTTCAGTATTTTGTTAATACCATGCGTTTAAAGTGAATATTATGTACTATGTAAATTGGTATGAGTTAAAAAGTATGTACAAAATCAATTTATCACTTTGCGAATATTATTTGTGGATAGACAAGAGCAGACTTCAAGCTTATTAGGTTGGCGAGGTCTGCACTTGACGTTGTTTTAATTTTCTTGAGTTATAAATTATTTGTATAAGTGTGCTCCTCGAATTATGCCGGTGTGATAGTGTCTGCATTGAGTATTATTCAATTTAGCAATAAGAAGTTTGGGCTCTATGATTGTTGAACATTAATCTAATGAAAAGCTTGATATTGACAGTTATGATGTTAACGTTTCATACGATTTATCTCGTACGGATGAGTTTTTTTTCAAGAAAATGTTTATTTCGAGCATTAAACTGTAGAAGAAACCATTTGTCGAATTCAAAATCACTACAATTCAAAGATTATTTTTTTATTGGGGCTTTGCACGATCGAATGTTGTTTTGCTAAAATTTAGAATTATTACAAGTGTTCCCTTTTTTTTCTGTGAACAATTGCTGATTGAGAAGTTTCATTTACATTGAATGACAATGTTCGCAACAAATCTGGTCTTTAAAGTAACTGTTGAGTGTGCATTGTTAGTCATATGAAGGAAATCGACCAAATATGAGCATTTTCGTATGTTTTCATGTACGCAAACCAGCATTGACCTGCTTTGACGGTACATATTCTCGATTTTTTAAGGCAAAAATGAAACTTACTATTCGAATATTTTGTCTCATGGATCGATGAATTTCATGATAACACTTCAGGGCTATTTTTATCCATATAAGTTTCATTTTATAAATGATTTGTCCTTTCACTTACCTTGATTTAATATGAAAAAACAAAAAATTACACTTTCAGAACTTTGATTTTCTTCATTTCGATCATGCTATTCGATTAGTAACTAAACACCTTGCAGAATCGTGGTCTGATAGTAACTACTCAGGAGATAGATATGTGCAATTAACATATTTTCATCGATAGATGTTTCCTATGGCAGGCCTATTTTGCAAGAAATCATACGTTGTATTTGTTTGATGCAGATTCAGCTCGGAAAAATACGATTACTCGTAGCAACAACTAAACTTTTGTTTTTTTGTCATGAATGTTTTTTCCTATGTTTGTTGAGAAAAAAAAGTACAAAGTGGAGGCTTATGTGATTAAAATGAATTGTGAACTGTAATCTTCAGTTCTGAATGGAAGACATACCTGCAAATATGAAAGAAAACTGCTAAGAGCTAATATTGATGAATGAAGTTGTATAAACTAACGCTATCTAATACAAAATGCCTATTTGAATGCAACAATAAGCTGCAAAATCGAAGAAAACAGGATAAATAAATGAAACTCATTTCGAGAGATCGTAGGTGTTAACTCAAGCACGATACTTGTTTTTACTGAAGAAAAACAGCAATGTCAAAGGGCTGAGAAATAGAAATTCCTAATCTGCCGAGGAATTGTCAGTGCCGCTGTGATAATTCCTAGAGTAAATGGGAATCAACCATTAGTTTCTTCACAGTCCCACCATTCACGAAAGTCGCGATATTGCGTTTTTTAGATAATTTGCACACGAAACTATCGATTCTCACAGTGTCGCAGGTAAAAATGAGTGTAAGAACAGAAATTATCGTGAATATTCCATATTTTTACTTTTATTATGCAAGAAACTGTAGCGGAACTGAGGGGGAATCCCTAATTCTCAGTCCTTAGACACCCCTCGTCCGTGTGACAAATCAACTTAATAATATGTATCAATGTTGAAGTCGAGAAATTACTCAGTTAAAACATGAAACCTCGCGATTAAAATAAATGAATGACCTTTAAATATTTTACTATATAGTCATTATCTTTTCAAGGTGAAGTCTTTAATTGAAAGAAAACGCTCTTTGCAATATATAAATCAAAATTTATATAAACTGGAGTAAATGAATAAAATGTTGTTGTTCTCTCAATGGGCATTACACGTTCGCCTCTAATAATTTTTATTGGAGCACGTTGAAATAAAACTGATAACTTACGATAAGTTAACGTTTTGTAAGGAAATCGCGTTTTCCAACATTGATATTATACAAGCGTCAACACTAAATAGAATATCTCATTTTTTATTTGATAAAATAACTTACTGCAGCTGCTGCTGTATCTGATCGTGGCGGTGTTATTTTATCGTATGAATAGTGATGCCGATTTAAAAAGTAGCCACGTCGAATAATAGCCGGCCTACGTCTTGTTTTATCTTCCGAAAATGGTACAAATACACCAATCAATATCATCATAAGTCTCATACAAACTTTAACAAGTATTCACTACGAAGAACAAAAAAGACAAACATTTCATTATAATGAAGAAGAAAAAACAGAAGCTAGTAAAGTTCTTGCGAGTTGATCAGTGTGATAATAGTTTCCACTCAAATATCTTATGGCACAAATGTTACGTCTACAGAAAATACTCAAATAAATATCGAATAAGTACTGTATCTTTAATTCAAAACCGATAAATTATATACTATCAACTAATTCGCAGTATGTACGTCATGTAAATGCAGCACTTATCAAAGCTCGAATCAATAAAACCTAACATAAAATCAAAGATAAAGCATATTTTTTATTAAATATGGTCTAATCATCTTTAGACTATCGACATATTTCGCCTATGAATTATTTTTACTATGTTTAGCATGATAAAAAGAAAAGTCTTGTTTTTCCTAGTGAATATTGTGTAATATTTTAGAAATTGAATTTTAATAACTTTTTCAAGAGGCAAACAGTGTGTATAAATAAATGTAAGACTTCACAAATGTTTGTTAAGAGTAAATAACAACAAGTCGAGTGGTATACGCACAAGCTTAATGAATGGTTTTTACTTGATATGTAGGATGTGTATATCTGATTTATAATTTTATGATCTGTTGAGATACATTTTACAAATTTGATTCAGAAACCGGTTTAGGAGATGTGGCACGTTTCCATGCGAGCGAGCATAGCAAAAAGCATGTATTAAGTTGCACATCAGCTAAAAAAGCTGGATAAAACTGTAAGCAGCATCCGTTTATATTTCTTGAATGATAAATTATCCGCGCAAGCGTACTCTTCGAATTTTAACTTTACAAACAAGGTTTAGTCCGACTGTTAAGCTATGCATACTGATTGAAACCAATTGAAAAATATTCTTTATTAAGGACTTGTACGATGGAATGTTGGCCCTAGTCAACTCTCCCTAGAAGAATCCCCAGGGAGTCCCTTGACAAATCCCCGGGGACTCACTGGGGACTCCCCGGGGAGTTATATGACCAAAATCGATGAAATATCTAATTACTAATAAATTCTTCTGAATTTTTTAAAATTTAAAAGAATTAAAAAGTTTTTTTTTAATTTTAAAAAACTTCACCAATTCTCCCCAGAGAAATCCCCGGGGAGTCGTCGGGGGAGAGTGGATTAGGGCGGTACTTCAAAATTGAGATTTTTTTACAAGTGCTCTCTTGTAATTCAATGTTTCTCTGTCAAAAAATGTTAATTAACAAGTTTTATTCGCATTTTGAGTGCAATATTTTAACAGAAAATTTGACTTAGAAAATTTTTCCAGTTCAAATACAGATAATGTTGTGTTTGTTTGATCGCGATGCAGCTCGTAAAAATGACAATACTCGTTGGAGAAGCAAACTGTGCGTCTTTTTTGCTAGGGATACTTTTTTCTTGTGTTGGTTGAAAGAAATAGAAAAAATTATGATTTACCTGAATGAAATAAATTTTGTACTCTAATTATTAGTAATGAATAAAAGGAGTTCTATCAAGTATGAATGAAAAATAAAATTACTAAGCACACACAGTAATGAAAGAAACTATAGAAATTAACGCAATCTGATTCAAAGAGACTACCTTGATGCAAAAACAAGCGCTGACATCGAAGATGAAAGGGCAAACAAATGTACCTTGTTTCGAGTGACCGTGGGTGGGAGCCCATACACAGCACTTGCTTTCAACCGAAGAAAACAACTATATATATATATATATATATATATATATACGAGTTACTTTTTTTCATTCACAGTCACATTAACAGCAGAACATCATCGTCAAGCAACGCAGTAACATAAGAATACAAGTATGCGATCTCTCGTTGCAATTATTCTGGTAAGAATTACTCTTCTTTTCGCTACATGTACTTTTCTTTTATCATTGGTATCCTTTTTCATTCATTTAGTTGGCTCTTGCCATGGTTGTAATATCAGCTTCAGCTCAACCTTCAAAAACAGGTAGTGGTGGTCCACCACCGCCACCACCGCCACCACCACCACCAGGCACTCCACCTGCAGCTGGCGGCGCTCCACCACCACCGCCGCCACCACCAGGCACTCCACCTGCAGCTGGCGGCGCTCCACCACCACCGCCGCCACCACCAGGCACTCCACCTGCAGCTGGCGGCGCTCCACCACCACCTCCTGCACCACCAGGCACTCCACCTGCAGCTGGCGGCGCTCCCCCACCTCCACCACCACCACCAGGCACTCCACCTGCAGCTGCGGCTCACTAGCCTAAATGAATAAAATTCATCAGACTTATCAGAACCAATTTCATTTATATAATCCGTAACTAGATTTCTCATACTGTTCAATAAAAAGTATATTTATAAAGAGTTCGTTCTTGTAATAAACTGCAAATTAAAAGAGACGGCAACAGTATGTATGATTGCATAGATTGAATTCAGTACTTCATCGTATAGGGTTTAAGGCCGCGAGAATACGAAAATGGAGAGTAAATTTCAAAGTTTTATTGCCAATATTCAAGTGAAGAAAACCTACAAGATTCTTTGATGCGTTTAGAAAAACCTGTTGTCTTGACATCATTCGGCATATTTGTAATACTTATCGTAACAACTATTAAAACGAAAGATTTTTCGCCACTATGCTTCCAGCAGTCGGATAGTAGCCAACACATAGCAAGACGATGGCTTACAGCTGGCCTGATGCTCAACAAAATCGTTATACTGAGCTAGAAGTCGCCTAACCAAGTTTTCTCTCATGACTTTTGATTCTATTATTTCGATCGTTTTGATTGTTTATTCAATCGTCCAACTTTAGCAAGAAATGTATGAACTTATCAATCATCCTGATATCTTTTTTTCAAAACTATTTCAATCACATTTGTTTTACAAATACGTCAGCCTCGATTCCATGCATTTGTAACATATGATGCCGTCTGTTGATATATTATTTGCATATTTACTGTTACTTTATGTGAGAACAATAAATAAAAAAGCCTTCATTTTCCATGACCCTATCACAACGATCTATTTATGTAAACTTGAAGAAAAAACATCATAGCAGACAAAAATTAGCATTTCATAAATAAATAAACTGAACATCATGTTCACAACAAATAATTGACTCGTATAATCATAGTGCATCGTCCATTTCGAGTAGAAACTTTGGTACCTAAATAAAACAGAAAAATACATGTATTCGCTGTTTTTAATATCAATTTACTGTTAATCCAGCCGACTGTATTACATTTCGACATTGTCTCAATTGATTCTCATACGTTGAACAGAGAAGAAGTAATTCATTTTGTTCTCTTATATTCTTTTGATGAACAGCATTCAATTTTTCATATTCATTATTTAAATGAGCTTTCTGATCGATGACTTCTTGAATTTGACCTTGAAGACTCTATGGAGAAAATAAATAAATATTGACGAAAACAAAGTAAAACTTCGGATATTTTACTTCTAGTATTGAAACTTTTCGTTTTTCATTGGTTAGTTTTTCTTGTAAAATATTATTTTCTAATTGAAGACGAGCTATTTCATCGTTTTGTGTTTTACATCTAAACGCATGATACTTCGATGAAATAGGAAAACGATTTTTATTAAAGAAATGTTTACTGTTCATCGAATGCATTTATTTTTTCTTGCAGTTCACTAATCCGAACATTCAATGCCGCATGTTCCTGTATATGATTTTGTTGTTCATTCTAAACAGACTTTTATTATTAAAGTAACGCCTAGGTATTGAACTACCTTCACAGTTTGATTATCATCGTGATTTACATTAAGTTGTTCAATACCATTTTCAACTCTACAAAAGATTGAAAAATTAAAATCAATTTTTAGCGGCTAACATACGGTTGTGTTAAATAGTAATATTGCTGTTGTTGATATGCCTATAAAGTATTCATTTTAATACAAGATTTTTCAAAGTTTGGATCTACGGCAGAGAGACGAAATTAAATCTTTCCTAAAGCTGAATAAATTCACATTTCGGAGGAAAAAACTTTATTACTCTATATTACTGAAGATATGTTTTAAAACGGAAGAAAAGAATCTCTCTATGAAAGCATATTTCTCTTAGTTTAGCTAATGTTGATCATCGGATGGAAAACAAAATTTTATACCATCATATTTCTTAAGTATTCTAGCTCCATTTGTTGTTGTTCACATAAACTTTTTAATCCATCATCAGGATTTTGATCTAATAGAAAAATGTCGTAGCATAAACTTGAAATATTTTTAATTTACTTTGTTCTGATGAACGCTTGAGCGATGTATGTTGCTCACGAATTTCTTGTAATGATTGTTCTAATTCAAAAATTTTCTGCTGATAAAAATTTCTTTCTTCAAGAAATTGTTTTTCCTGATTTTGATATGCATTTATTTGTTGATTTTGTTGCTGAAGTAAATTCGTATATTGTGCTAACATTGCTGCTGATTGATCAGGTGATTTTGTTGGATCATCATTTGTACGTGTTGTTAACAATCTAGTAATGGACCCTTCGAGAATTTTGTACAAACGAGAAAATTCATAATCGAGAACCATATCATTCGATTTTGAGAATGTCAATTGAGGCTTCTGCAAAGCTTTCGCATAACAGTCGGATTTAGAAAGCAATTCAAGTTTTTCTTGAAATAAATCAACACCAATTCGTTTCTTTATAATTCGTTCAAGCGATTCACTAAAACAAAAACAAAAAAATTTTATTATGAAAGTTTTCTGAAATCAATCGAATTTTGTCGGCGACTATCTCCTTGACAATGTAAACTCGAGTTTAACTGATTTTACTGCAACAGCAAAAACGTACGTTGAATAGGTTGATACTTGATTATTATTAAAAACTAAACACAATCCGAATGCAAACGAACACAATGATTGAATAAGAACTTCACGATCTTCTGTGACTGATTGAGAACAAATTTGTGAAATTAACTAAAATGACACAAACAAAAAAAAAATAGTCGTTTCACGGATACATTTACATACATAAGAAATACTATTTGGAATGGACAGGAATGTTTGTACAGCTAATTGGCAATTTGATAACCATGTACATAAAAAACTGAGTATAGCAACACGTGTATGAAACGAAGATGAAGACTATCAATGAAAAATAAGCTTAGGGAATATTTCGAAAAAGTAAAATTTCCTAATATACATTTTCCAATAGATCGATGGATATTTCCATTAGTGATTTAGGATTCAGTTGAGATTGATCAATTGCAAGTACAACTTTAAGTACAGCTTCTTTCAGCTGTTGATTATCGATGATTAAATGGGCTAGGGCAACATTAGAGCACCATGCAGCAACAATATCTTTACTTAAAAATCCAACAATTAATAAATGACCTAATGTATATTGGTTTGACGCTAAAACGATAGGAAATTTTATTGAGAAATTAGCATTTCAAAAGCAAAATCGAACCATTTTCTGTTTGTGGTAAAAGTGTTTGTACAATCATTGCTTTTCCGTAATCATTTTTGCATAAATAACATTGAAAACAATAAAGAATAGCTATTCTCAGAGTAAATAATTGCTTTTCTCCAGCAACCATTATATAGAGAAGACTTAATAATACTGGCCTAAATCGGATTTGTTTTGCCGAATAAATAAACAGTAGGAGAAAAATGTCATACTAACTGTGGAGATTCACCCGTCGTATTCATCACAGAACCAAAAAATTGCTGATTTTCAGCATGACCACGAATAATTTCACCAATTGTATTAATCGCCTATTTATAATTCAAAAATAGTTTCACCAAAGTATCCATAGAAAAAAAATAAGCTTACCTCAGCCAAAACATCAGGTGGAATAGTCGATATTGTAAGCATGACGCATAAACGATGTAAAAGACCTGATAGAAAATAATGGAAATGTTTTGTTTCTCTTTCTCGCATACGGATCACAATAATATCTTTATTTTATGTATCCTGAATTTTAGTGACACATCTGAGATAGTGTTTCATTTTCAAGAGAATACAGTTCATCAATTATGGTTCTAGGCTTACCACATTGACTAATCGTACGTTGACATGCAACAATATTTTGGTTTGAATTTGTCGGTGACACAAGTGTTCGAATAATCTTAAAATATCGAAAAAAAAAGTGAATTGTGCTTTTGATCTAAACTTTTTATTTTTACTTGTAAAAATAGATGAATATTTGTTTCTTTTTGTTTTAACCAATTTTTGTTTCCGATCGAATTCAATGCAAAACACTCAACTAAACGTCGAATAAACGAACTCTCGCGAAAATAACTTTGATTGGATGGATTAGTTTTTAATAGATTCAACAACACAGATAAACAATCTTCGACAATAACACCTAAAATTTCAAAAATAAATTGAGAAAAAAATATATTTCGTGTTCTTTTACCTCCATCACTGCCGCCTTCACTTATAAGAATTTCAAATAGTCGTTCGAAACCATTTTCGAATGCAACAATCTTTTGAATGTTCGCATTCGAACGAGTTAGAATTTGAAGAAGCAGAAGAGTCTATTGAAGATTCCAATAAAAAATAGTTTCCGGATCAAAACAAAAGCTCTTACATCATTTCGAATCACTTCCCGTTCATCTTGTAACAGATCGACTAATTTCGAAACACCCATAGGACCACTTTCAAGTATAATATCTTGTAAAAGTTTAGTACAATTCGTAAGAAGTATAGAAAGAAATTTAATAGCTGTACGGCGAATATTAAAGTCAATTTCCTAGAATAAAAAGAAGAAATTATTGATAAACTAAAAACTAAAATCTTACTTCAATAAGGTCAAGAGCAGCATGTACGTGTTCTTTATTCTTAATGAATAGTTCTAAAATAAATATTTTTTTTTTTTTATTACATCATGAAAATATTCTACCTGTAAATTGAATATTTATATCTTGTGGTAAATTTGGTTGTTCTAGAAAATATATTTTTCGATAAAATATCTTAAGACTTATTCTTCTCCTACCATCCTGATTATCAGCTTCATAGGTCATTACATTTGATAATGTTTCTAATGCTAATTGAATAAGTTCCAAATCAGTTCGATCACCTTGCAGAATATTTGCCAGTAAAAGCATACCTTGTGTTGCAACTTCAAGTTTACATTTCTATTGATTTCAATACACTTATGAATAAACGAAATTGAATATGTTGACTTACTTTAGAAAATCCTTTAAGATTACGTAGAGCATCTCGTCGATCATCAATACGAACAGCTGATTGTAAACGATCACATAAACGTTCGATCTGTAAAAATATGAAGAATTCATCAAAGTAGAAGAGCGGTTTTCGATGTGTATGTGTCATGCTTCAGCCCTGCAAGCAGAATGCTACAAAGCCTATCGATTACCGATAAAAATCAAGCAGTTTTAATCATATTTTACCGTTTCTTGATTATTTGTTTTATCATTTGTAGTGGTGGTATGTGGTGTCGACGACGAAAAAAGTGAAGTACCACGCCAAAACGCCATTCTATGTTTTAAAATTAAAAATATCAATTAGAGATCAGTCCTTTCTGTTTAAAAATAAAAAGCTGGCTCTTATTTTAAATAGAATCAATCAATTCGCACATGCATCGTTGTCATCAAATAACAGATATCGTATTTAAACCGATAGATCTGCTTCTCAAAAGAGGTCTCTCGTAGACAGCTATGAAATTTTAACTTTAAAGCGAGTTTATAACTCGACGTGAAACCTGTCCTACGTAGATCTATACTAGAAATGCTTATTGAATAGTTACTTTCATTTACATATTTCATAGGACACGTAGTTGAACATTGCATAACATTCGAGATGAAATAGGACGGAACGTAATTAGTGTAGAAACGGTAGAATTCCATAATACTATACTAATAGTTTTTTTTTCTAGAATCTTCCAAGATCTCTACCTATCATATCATCAAAGAGAAAAATAATTTTATTTACATTTCAAATAAAAAACACTATGATTGACTGTACGAATCAGAGACACTCACTAGCGAAGCAATAAGACGGGTGGGTGTGGGTGTGGGTTCACATGTGAAGAAGATGATATAAAAAAACACATACACACCCACACCCTCAAGATGATATCTTGATACTTTTTTCCAGCCATAAATGCACTGGATAGCAATGTACTTCATCAGGTTCGTCGCGTTCTATCCAGTCGCTTATATGATCTCGCTCCATTTTAAGTCTTACATATATTCCTGCCTGCAAGAGCCATTCTTTGATATCATCCATAAAACTACTTTCATAAGGAATCATTTGAAACGTAACTCTTGATAAATTCTTGGCTTTTTCAAGAAGTCTTTGAGCGTCTTCTACATGGATGATATGAGCGCTCAGATATTTAACTGATTGAGGTAATTTTAAACAGATTGAATTATAAGTGGTCAAATTCATTTGTTCGGACTGGTTGCAATTGATTATTAGAGAATGACGATTCAATGTATGTTCAAATAAAGTATGCATATCAACATCAAGGTTCGTTTCGAACTGACATGTAGAAGAAAATTCGAATTGAAGTGTTTCAAGATTTGTTAGATTGACAGTGTTCTGAAGATATTGAATTGTGGCAATGGGCCATTTTTCATTGATCACCGATGTAAACTTGCGAACACACGGATATTAAATAACGGTGACACGATCGTGTCTAAATGTAAAGCAAATAGCGTAAGTTTAAAAGAAGTTAATTAGCGAAATATAAGTATCTTTCCATTGAGGAATTGAATGAACATGTACGCGTCTTATGATGGCTTATAAAATGTAGTATAGTTTCAGAAGTTCTTTTTACAATTGACCGAAAATGGTAAACTAGAGAATATATATATGGAGGTGACATTCTATAGAAATTTGAAGTAGAAGAAACTTTTCATAACTCCTAAATGATCTACTCGTAGAAAATCGCTTCTTCTAATTGAGAAAAAAAATTTTCAATGATAGAATTAGATGAAAAAGACACTGACCGTTTTAGAAAAACAAAATTAAAAGCTTACGCCTTCTGAAGTGATGGTGTCAGGTATTTGACCAATAAATAATCTTAATTGTCTAATATTGATGAATAGTTCGAGATTATGATCAATCTTATTGACTGCTGACTGTATGATTTGCTTTCCATCACTATAATATTCAATATAATCTTCGCTGATTGGTATTGAATGTAGATACAGTTTCCAACTATGCCCATTATTGTTAGATTCCAAAGCGCATCGAACAAGCAAGGATTTAGTTTCAAGTCAAAATGGTGTTTGGAATTTCGCAATATGTTCTTCGACTATGTTACTCTTCGGCTTTTCTGACAGATAGTGTTCGAAACAAAATTTGAAGTGATCCAACAGAGACAACTTTGCTCGAATTATTTCTTCCCGCTGAGTACCATCATAGAAAAAGTCAGTTAAATCTAACATCGCATTTATTCGAAATTGTGTTAGATTAGGAACTAATGACAAAAGTGACTTCAATTCTTCAATATCAGTCATATTTATTGATAATAATGATAGCGACGTTAAACGCAGTAAAGGCTTTCTATCTGCAGGTTTCTCAGCAACTTCTAATATTTTCGGTCCAGAAAAATCTTGTACAATCAAGATTTGTAAATTTGGTAACTGATTACAAATAATGCAAAATATATGGGGAGTAGCATATGAGATTGCCAAGGATTTTAATGGATAATCAATCGGCCATTGTGTTTTGTGTACTAACAAGCGTTCCCGGCCCATAACTATGCAGTGTTCACTTATGTGTAGCTGGCGAAGAGTATACTTTGACACAATTGGTGCTAGCCAATTTTCACCACGATTTAAGTGAAATGGATCTTCAGTGTTAATATTAATATTTAAAGTAGTCAGAGTTGATCCCATCGTAGATTTTTCCAACCAATGTAATAATTGATAAGAGTCGGCATCCATAGTCAATGAACGAAGTCGCGTGAATTGGTCAATATTGAATATACGAAAAAAATCATTGCAAAGACTGGGCAAGTACCACCTCTGCATCAATGTAAGCGTGATGACATTTTTCGGATTGATAATTTTTGCATGATATGGAATTCATATAGTGATGTGAAACGAAAATTTAACGCATATCGATCATAACTATTGGTGATCGTATATAGTCTTTTGCATGCACATCGAACTGCAAAAACAATTGTTTCTGCATCAGGATGGTCAAAAATTCGACAGATAAGTTCGGCAGGTAGTATCTGCAGAGACATATCCATCGCAACTGGCATGAAGTCTTCTATACTGCAGTTCATTATGCTATTCAATTTTTCCCACTGAAAGTTAGGCTGGCACAAGTGTTTTGTATTCGCTTACAATAATTCATCTTTCAACACTGTTGTGTAAGAACGATAAAAACATCATTCAATCATTTTGTTGAAACCAATAGAAAAAAACCTTCACAGAAAATATTCGACGCTATTGTTTTGTTGATGAAGCAAAAAAAGAATTGAAAGAAAAAAGATTTGCTCTATGCTTGTCGAATTAACACAACGCTTTCAAAAACTACTAAACAAGAAACGCATTAATATGTTGTAGATTTCAAAGTCGTTATGCATTCTAAAAGAGAACAGAAGATGTATACGTTTTCAATAATTCAGAAATAAAATAGTATTTTTCATAATTCTACTAGTCGAACGTGAAAAAACGCATTTAACAGAAGATTCTATGAATGACTACCGAGGAAGAATTCAGACTTACCTTGAATCTTCAACAGCCTTTTCAAAATTCTGATTTAGTGTCTTCATCACTTATCAAAAACCTTCCAAGAAAGGAAAATATTCGGATGTGGGTGTGGATGTGAATGTGAATGAATAGAATACATCGACCCATTCACTTCACCACCACCCACAGTCACATTCCTACACCCATATTCACACCCAAACGGACTGCACAGATAATCTTTTTTAGATCTCCTCGACAAACGTATGAGATATATCCGAATGCATGGCGATATCAGTGTCATTTCAAGTTAACGCATGTATCGAAAATTGTCAAAATATTTAAAAACAAACGCGTTCTTGTTTATTAATAATATTCCGTATTGAATGATCAAAAAAACATAATAAAAAACTTAAGATACATTTTTCGAGAATATCATAAACATTAAACAACAAGCAGATTCATAGTCAACGGTGTGGGTGTGGGCATGGGTTCACATGTGAAGAAGATGATATAAAAAAAACCACACCCACACCCATTTCGAATTAAAGAATAATTGTACTAGAACACTAATATCATCAGTTTTATTGATCCTTTACGAATTTATTAAACACATTGTTCGTGAATAATGAGATTTCAGAACATTGCGATTAGGATTATGACTGACGTTTTCAGGCATAATGTTTTTGGACAATTATACCAATGTTCCGTTTAGTTTTCAATGTAGAGTCTGCATTGCAGACTTAATTTCTGATGAGACAACACAAAACACCGAATAGACTGAGGGAGTGGGTGTGGGTTTAGAAGAAGAAATCCCTACTTATATCCACACCCACACCCACCCTTTGGGTCTGATTGAGTTTCGATTATTTGGGTGTGGGTGTGGGTTTAGAAGAAAGCACCCTACGCACATCCACACCCACACCGAAAAATCGACACAGTTAACTTTCTGATAATGATGCTCTATGAAAATAAAATAGAAAGTGGTTTAAAAAGCACTCGCTCTTCTAAAACGATCGTAAAAATATTAATTATGTTTTGTTTTTTGTCAACAGAAGATTTTCATCTAATGATGAAATGCGCTGCTGTTTAGATGCTCACTCTGCCAATAATGTATGGACATCCTTTATTGTTCACATATTTGGTGTCCATTTTTTAATTACCCTTTGGGACTGTCGTGCAGATAGAACTATTACTTTCTCATCAGTGTTATAGAATGTGTTATTCTCAAGGGATGTTGTATAACCTACTACTATCATTAAGGTGTCTGATTTTCTTCTAAATATTATCCGTATGTCATTGCGCAATTCGATTCGATTTCGGTCTTTGATCCTCATACATTTGATGATCACTCTACATTTTCTGTCTACGTCGTTTTGGATGTGGGTGTGTGGTAGTGATCAGTTTTACTGAAGGTTTTTGTTCCAATTCCGAGCCGGAAAAATTTTTTTTTCGATGCCGACTCCACTTCCTAAAAAAAATATTCGTGGATCTGATACCGATTCCGAAAACTTCAGACCATTTTTGTTCATGATTTAGCGATATCTAACACATGTTGAAATCATATATAATGAATGGCTAGCGGCCGAAAACGAATCATAGGAGAAATAACACTAGGTATAGCTAAGTATAGTATAGGGTAAGAATAAAGTGCCGAAAAGAAACCGAAAAGCCGAAGCGACCGAAAGAAATTCGATTAGCTCTTCGTATAGAAGGCGGCAAGGTGACCAATCGAATTTCTTTCGGTCACTTCGGCTTTTCGGTTTTTTTTCTTTCCCCTAAGTATATGTTCATAAGATTTGTCTTTGTTTTAAAAAATCTATGAATAAAAAGCGATTATCAAAAACACAGCTTGAAAAACTAATAAAGGACGATGATCAGCCAGCTAAACTTGTTCAAAAGAAGAAAACTGTGAAATCAAGTGAATGCCGGGATTTTTTCAACTTGTTCTTGTTCACAATTATCAAGAAACTTACTGATAAATTAAAATCAAGTCATATTACTCTCTTTACAACTATAAACAGCATTCTACTTTGGAAAAACAGATTTGATCACTAGAAGGAAAATCGAAAACAAAAAAAATCGGAATTCATCATAAGCTTTTATTTCGACTCCGAATCTGTTCCATAGTATGTGCTGTGGTGTGAGCGTCTCTTTTTCTCTTCCACACTCACACTCACCCACACCGACTGGCACCGATACTGAGGCTCACTGAGTACTGATAGGTCCACTGACACTGATCACCGAAAAACTGAAAACACTGATGATCACTGAATCATTGATGCACTAACATCATCACTGTCTCTGATGAACAGTTCTCAACACTCTAAAAAAAAATTTGTCTTTTTACAGAACCCGAAAAAAGGTTCCGTAGAATTGAAGATTCGTTTTTTCGATATTTGGACGCATTCTGAAGCTTTTTCAAGTCTACGGAACCTTTTTTCGGGTTTCTTAAAAAAACCTATTTTTTAGAGTGTTGAGAACTGTTCATCAGAGGCTTTGACGATGTTAGTGCATCAATAATTCAGTGTTCATCAGTGTTTCAGTGACGTCGGTGTCATTGCTTTCAGTTTTTCGGTGATCAGCGTCAGTGGATCTATCAGTACTCAGTGAGCATCACTGTTGGTGTTCATGGTGTCGGTTTTTTCAGTAATGCCACTGACACCGCACACCCCTAATCTTGGATGTACTTGCATGAAACTCTGGAGTCAGCTTGACAGCTGACCTCTAACCCGCCATACACACACAAACGCATTTTTTCCGTATGACCTTCCCTTCAGTTGAGGGAGCAGATTAGGCAATCAATTGCTCCCCAATACTTTATCATTTCACAAGAAATCTCGGTGAGAGTGGACGATGATATAGTTGGGTCTCAAAACGAAGCTATTTTGCGATTATCATGTAACGTATGGCAGATTTTGATTGATCATTTGCGAGAAAAGTTAATCTCATATGAGAAATCAGTTATATTGACTAAATTGCGCACGAGTTATTGATAGCTGTAACGAATAAACTATTGCAATCCAATCTTGTAACCGTACACTTGCTTCACTTAGGAAGGATTTTGAAATTTATTAGGTTGATTTCGCTCAATACAGATATTTTCTTCGCAGATATTTTTCACAAACTTTAAAGATGAAAAATACATTGTAATTGAAAAATGCAGTATAGCTCGAATTTTTTATTCACTTTGAAATATGGTTCTGATAACTAATAGATGCTTAATAAAAATTTCTTGTACTAAATAAATAGATTGAAACAGAACAATCAATAGGATTTTGAAGAAAACACTATTTTCTATCTTGTGTATGCCGAACGTATTTGACTTTTATAAGAGAGAAGAATCAATTATGGTCTCCATTACATAAATAATATTGAAAGATATAAATTAATAACATATAATACTAAATTTTGTTCATGTTCCAAACAATATGACACACTAGTCGTCGCCTGTGGTTGAGGATGCTGGTTTTTAAATACATATATTTCCCTGAGAATCATATAATATCCAATACACCACATGTCAAATATCTTTTGTACATCTCTACTTTGTTTCTTTTTTGTGTCCGTAAAATGAATGGCAAATATTGCAGTGGGTAATTTTTGGTCTGATCTGCAGTCCATGTTGTGATTAAGCAGGGATCATTTGCGTACCTTGAAATAACATATAGGTGAACGTAGTAGAACGATGAGTCATTGTAATGAATTTGAAGCGTTCTGTTCACATTTATGACGAAGAGATATTTTATCAGTAACGATTTGATTTTATCATCATCTATTTTAATGCCTCTTCTAATAAGTGTACTGTCGTAAGGAAACATTTCATGCAAAGCATTGTTGATCTTTTTAAAAATTGGACACAAAAGGTTACAATCTTCTTTACCACTGCCTTTGTAACTAAAAGACTGGTATCTTCGATCACTTTGCATGAGTTGTAGACTAGGCTCTAGAGATGAACGCACTATCTCATAACAAATAGTACCATCGACATTATTTACGGTCATATTATTCCAACGGGCTACCAAACGTATTGAAGTTTCGGGATGAACTTTCTCTTCATTCAGCATGCGACGTATATGTAATATACGAGTAAAATAGTGCTTAGCATTCATGGAGGACATCGCAGCAAACTGATCATTATAACCACCATAAGACCAGCCAAAAGGAACATAAAGTATATTATCTACTCGAAGTCTCGGTTCATAGATCATGTCATACAGAAGGGTAGGACGAATGCCCCAATCGCTAGCAACATCCTCTTTCATGAGTTGGTTTATGGGATTCGAAGAATTATAAACTTGTATATTAAAAGCTCGCTGCCACCAGTTAGTATAATAGACTGCATCGTGACGCATTCTGAATGTCCATTTGTAGTCAATACCGGATGCAGCTATGTACTTTTGACGAAGCTCCTCACTACGCAGTTGACTGTGCCACATATAATAAATCGATGGGATTGGTGGATGACCCGGAAAACGACTAATGGAGATATTGTACGTATCTTTATAGTTGTTTCGTAGGGCTGTTAAAGGTAAGTATTCAAATACATTTGCTTTCACAGTTGTGCCGATATTGATTGCACGCTTCGATGATTCTCCTTCCTCTTCCTTCTGTTCTCTTTCCATTGGTGTAATATCTCTCTCTCTTGTCTCTCTTCTATCTCTCTCCTATATATACGTGTG